ATAAGTCTTGGTGATTTTCTTTTGGAATCTACCCTCTCATCATTTTCATTCTTTCATGTAGTGAGCTACCATATTATATTGCCTGACAATCTTGGGATCATTGCCTTTGTAGTTTGTGAGCCAAAAATGTACCATTTTACCTGATGATCTTGAAATAATCACCTTCCAAAGCCAACAGCTTGCTATACTGGCTTCCAATCTTGGGTTTGTGAGCCTCTGCAGCTGCATGAGTAAGAAGTCTCTAGCCTGACGTTTGACCTCTGGGATTGGGACTTGCCATACTCTACAAATGTGCAAGCCATTTCCTTGATATACATTAATAAAAGCTCCACCAGATTTGCTTCTCCAGAGAACCCAGTTTAAGACAGAAGAAGAACGCAGCACTAAGTTTAGAAGAAGACTCATTAAACATCTGCAATATGCAGATGACACAACCTTGCTTACTGAAAGCGAAGAGGACTTGAAGGACTTACTGATGAAGATGAAAGACTGCAGCCTTCAGTATGGATTACACCTCAACAAAAAGAACACAAAAGTCCTCACATCTGAGCAATTAAAGAACATCATGATGAATGGAGAAAAGATTGGAAATGTCAAGGATTTCACTTTACTGGGATCCATAGTAAATGTTCATGCAAGCTGTAGTCAATAAATCAAATAATGTGTTGCATTTGGCAAGAGTGCTGCAAAAGATCTCATTAAATGTTAAAAAGTAAAGATGTCACTTTGAATATGAAGTTGTGCCTGATCCAAACTATGGTGTTTTCAGTAGCCTCATATTCACATGAAAGTTGGATAATAAATAAGGAAGATGAAAGAAGAATTATACCTTTGAATTATGGTGCTGGCAAAGAACATACAAATCTATCTTGGAAAAATGTATAGCAGAATGGTCCTTAGGAGATGGTATGATACTTCATCACATGTACTTTGCACATGTCATCAGGAGGGACCAGTCCCTGAAGAAAGATATCATGCTTGGTAAAACAGAGAGGGTCAGGGGAAAAGGGGAATATGCTCAATGAGATGGATTGACACAGTGGCTGCAAAGATGGCCTCAAGAATAGCAATGATTGTCAGAATGGTATACTACCAGGAAAAGTGTCTCACTATGTTGTACATAGGGTACCAATGAGTCAGAACCAACTTACAGCACATAACAACTACAAATTTGTCACAGGAAAGCATTGTAATCTACCTGAAGAAGAATGGTAAATGTAGTATATCTTCATAAGAATGTATTAGTCCAGTGGTGTCAAAATTGTGGTGTAAGGATGCAGACCACACTGGGTTACAAAATCAAAGGGAGTGACATCAAAATAACTGTCTATAAAATTTTTGTGCAGTATTTCAGCAAAACTTTATTAGGTTTTATAAAAGTATCTCTGTAGTTAGTTTTAACAATAAGAACATTTTTCCTAAAACCAGCTTATATGTATCAATATATGTACAAGGCTAAAACTTAATGCTTGTTTACTTTTTTAACCTTTTAATACTCTCTGGTAAGAGCTGTCATTATTACGCAATTACAATGATGCTTCAAATTATATGGTTGCATTGGTATGTGCTACAAGCATGAGAAGTATTCATTGCTACCAGTGTTTTTATTGTTGATCTTATTGCTAGGTGTCATCTGATTCATAACGACTCTACCTACAGAACGAGACCCTGCCTGGTCCTGTGCCAGCCTAACAATGCTTGCTATTCCTGAGCCCATTGTTGTTGCCACTGTGCTAATCTATGTTGATTGTGGAACGAAGTAATATAGAATCTTTGACAACTTCAGACTTTCTCCATTTATTGTAACGCTGCTTATTGGGTCCAGTGTGAGCATTTTAGTTTTCTTTATATTGAGGTATAACCTGTACGGCAGACTGTAATCTTTAATCTTCATTAGTAAGTGCTTCAAGTCATCTTCACTTTCATCAAACAAAGATGTATCATCTGCATATCGCAGGTTGTTAATGAGTCTTCCTCCAATCCTGATGCCATGATCTTCTTCATATAGTCCAGCTTCTCAGATTATTTGCTCAGCATGTAGATTGAATAAGTGGTGAAAGGGTACAACCCTGATGAACTCCTTTTCCTTTACAGTAATTGATTTTGTCAAATTTTCCAGTGTTTTAGCTTAATATTGGGTTAATTAGTGTTTGTGAACCTATATTAATAACTTTTTTGAGGATGAAGTATGAATTAAAGGAAAAAAAAAGCCTTCCAATTAGTTACTAATAATGCTATCACAAAAACTTGATTCAGTGTTGTTGTTGTTATGTGCCGTCGAGTCGGCCCCGACTCATAGCGACCCCTCCTTGGGTTTCCGAGGCAGTTATCACTACGGAAGTAGGATTGCCCAACCTTCAGTGTAGAAAGAATTTACCAAATAATTTTGTTGTTAGTATTTATACGATCTAAAAGATATTATATTTAAGCAATTTATAAATTTACTTAGCACATATTATTCTATGATTAAAGTTGATAATAAACATTACTGGGATTCTGTATTGTCTGGTATCAGAGAAAACCCAGAGAGATGGGGATGTGACACCAAGTGTTATCATATTGGGTGACACCAACCCCAGGTGCACCCCCATATTATGCAATATGAAAATAATTAAAAGTGAGTTAAACCTGTATGCATTGATATGGAAAGATCTTGAAGAGGTTCAGTAATAATATGCAAATTTTATACAAAGTTATAAATGTACATCACCAAATTCACTCCATTGAGTCTATTCTGACTTATAGTACCCCTCCACCCCCAAATTTCAAAGGCAGTAAGTATTGGCAAGTAAGTATTTCCTTGCAGAAGTAGATTGCCCCATCTTCATTCCACAGAGCAGCTGGTGGGTTTGAATTGCCAACCTTCTGATTAGCAGTCAAATGCCTTAGGCACTGCACCACCAGAGCTCTCTATAAATATGCATAACGAAAAAACCAAACTCATTGTCATCAAGTCAGATCTGATTCATAGCAACCCCTCCTTGGGTTTCCGAGGCAGTATCGCTATGGCAGTAGATTGCCCAACCTTTCTTCCGAGGAGTGGCTGGTGGGTTTGAACCTCCAGCCTTTTGGTTAGTAGTCAAATGCCTTAGGCACCATGCCATCAGCACTCCTATAAATATAGATACATACATATATGTAAATATGTGTCTATTTTAAAAGAGTATTATTTGAATGATCTTAAGAAACAAAGCCCAATGATTTCCTCTGGGGAAACACCCTGGGAACCTAAAGTAAGAGATGGATTTACTTTTTATTTTATATCATTTTGTATGGTTTCCATTTTTAGTATCTATTATTATTACATTTTCCATTGTAATGTTTTAAAATGTAGAAGCATTACATATTTTTTACATTCCATATAATGCAATTGAAACTGAATAAAAATGACAGCTTATACAGCATTAAGTATTTCAAATAGTATAATAAAAATAATTAACATAAATGACAATAATTTTTCTATTAAAAACCTTAGGCTTAGAAATAATAAATAAAAATATTGCATAAATTAATTAAAAATCAGTGTAACTTTATAAAAATTTTACAATTTTAAGTACTATTTATTGACTCCCTACTATATATGAATTAAATCTTTCTACAGGTAGTGATAAGCAAGACAGTATACAGCTCACATTCCAGCATATAAACTTTTACTAATACCCCAATCTTATGACTAATTCTTTAATTGCAAATATAATACATGATTTCAAGGAAAGGGAAGAATGTATCAGATTTAAGATTTCTGGGTCCCATGATGCACTCTGAATCAAAATAACTTTTTTCATGGTGGCTGAAATGCTTATTTACTACCAAAAAGTGATCTTTTTTCCTCCAGAGTGTATCCATAGCATTTGTCATCTCTGAATTTCTCAGTGGTTAGATTTTTGCTTTATCTTTAAGAGAGCAAATCACCAGATCTTCTCTGCTACAGAGTTACAGGTAGGTTTGAACTTTAGACCTTAGGATTAGCAGCCGAGCACCTGACTACTACACCACCAGGGCTTCTCCTTACATTGTGTTGCTGTGATTATGTGCCATTGAGTCAGACCCGACACATAGTGACCCCTCCTTGGTTTTCCAAGGTCCTTACATTAGTGAGATGGAAATCAGTCCCAGCTCTCTGACTCTAGACTCCAAATCCTACCACATCATCCAATGCTCTGGTGCTTACAGGACTGCCAGAGCCTGAATGAGGACCCTAAAAGTCAGTAAACAAATGCCTGACATTCAAGTAAAGAACTATGTGAGATGCAGTTGGCCATACAAGAAGATATCTTTTTCCACTAAGACAAAGGAACTGGGAAATCTCTACAGAGGTCTTGATTCAGATAAAATTAGGTTTCCGCTCATTCTAGAAGAGATACCAGCCAAATCTGCCTCAACTGGAAGTTGGATCAGCACCAGTCAATTTTTTTTTCACTTTAAGAAACACTTACATAATGTTTCCAAAGTGTCATAAACATTTAAAATATGTTAACCCATTTCATTGGCTGATCAATGTTATGAGGTAGGTATTATTATTACCATTTTATAGATTAAGAAAATGTGACATGAAAAAATCAGATAACTTTTCCATTTCACATTTACACCAAGAAAGTCAGACTCCAGAATCCACTCTTAGCTGTTACACCACAATTATCTCCTCTGAAACAATATCTCCCTTTGTTTTAAATATGCTCATATTCTGGTTGTCTGCTGTGTTGATCTCAGGTTTTTAGTAAAGTGATTCCTTGACCTATCAAACAGAACTTGTCAGGAGAAAATCAGACCCAAAGATGGATCAGCTGCAAGCCTTTGGAGACACTGGGCCAATGGAGATTAACTTGGGAGACCAAGTTTCAGGAGTGTTCAAAAAGGTTGGATCCAACTGCAGCCCCCAAAATCTCCTATGAGGCCAGTAAGATTTCAGAGTATTCATCACAGTAGGCACAGAAAAATTATGACTCACCCTTCTAAAGTTAAAAAACATTAAAAAAATTATAACCAGTTGAGTAGTTTCATAATAATTTCAGAGACTCCCATAATAAATAATGTTTCTAACAGCTAAGATTTAGTGAACAGTTAGTTCATACTAAGATCTTTACAGGGATTATGTTATTTTCCTACATTAACTCTATCATTCCTCATTAACTTCAACTTAATAGGTTGTGTTTTGCCAAAGTTCACACTATAGATGACAAAACTAAGATTTCAGTTTGGTACTGTTTTACTCAGACACTTTGCTCTTAAGCATTTCTCTAAGTTATACATTCATGCCATGACACACGAAATCCTTCACACATAGCAAAATCATGTAAACAAGGCTCTCTATGTCAATGACTAGTTAAGATAAAAATTTTTAATCCAAAAAGTGTTAGAAAGTATAGAAAGAGAAGATGGAAAATATTTGCTCTATTGGATAGGTCAGGGAATCACTTTACCATAAAGCTGAGGTCAACACAGCAGACAACCAAAATATTTGCACAGAATAGTTATATTTGTTTTGTGATAGCAAAAGTGGTGAGTTTGAACTGCATGATCTATGAGACCTGAGACTTTCATGGTTCTCATAGCTCCAGTTGTGAAAGATACTTTGCAGGAAATTCCTTAAAAGGTGGCCCATTCATGGCTGAGGATGTGAACCTACTTCTACAGTATTGTAGCTCAAAATGAGTACATAGAACACGTACTTCATAAGCATGTGGGCAATTTGTTTAAAATATAGATATGTACATGCAACAACTCTTTTACTGAATTAGAGTGGCTAGAGCCATGAGTTGGGAATCAGCATTTACACAGTAATCCTCATTAAGATAGTGCATTAAGGATCAAAAACTACATAAGCAATAAATAAACCTAAATGAAATATTATTATAGTGATAAGAAAATTTCCTGCCTGAGCATTTACTCAAAGGACCTACATGCCAATATCAAAGTGCTTTTGACAAAATAGTGATCACCTGGCCTTGAAACATAGAAATTATCTTTTTTTCTTTTCATCAATTAAAGAATCAAAGGTGCTCTGGTGTCATAGTTGAGAAGGCATTTGGCTGCTTACCAGAAGGATAGTGATACAAACCCATCAACTGTTCCAAGGGAGGAAGATAAGGCAATCTACTTCCATAAAGATTTAGAGCCCTGGAAACACAATGTGGGTCATTATGAGTCAGAATCAACTCAATAACAGTAGGTTTATTTAAAGAATAAAGTCATCACATGTTGTGATTATTCTTTAATTGAAGTCATTTTTTTACCCCAGAGTTTCTTCATAGCATTTGTCACCTCTGAATTTCTAAGGGTGTAGATTAAGGGATTCAACATAGGAGTTATGACTGTATAAAACACACTCAATGATTTGTCAATGGGGAAAGTCTTAGCAGGTCTTGCATACATGAAAATACAGGGAACAAAGAAGAAAACCACCACAGTGATGTGGGAGCCACAAGTGGAGAGGGCTTTTCTCCTCCCTTCTTGACTAAGGTTCTTTAGAGAGTGTAGGATAACACCGTAAGAAATGAGTAAGAGCAGAAACACGACAGTGCAGATTACTCCTCCATTGGCCGCCACTAAGAAGCCAATGATATAAGTGTCAGTACAGACAAGTTTCAATAGAGGGTACATGTCACAGAAAAAGTGATCAATGACGTTGGGACCACAGAATGGGAGCCCATAAATAGAGCTAAGGTGGATTACTGAGTGCAGAAAGCCTCCAACCCAGGACACTATCAGCAGCAAAACACACACCCATTGTCGCATAATAACCAAATAATGCAAGGGCCTACAGATGGCCACATAGCGGTCATAGGCCATCACCAATAGAAGAAAGACCTCTGATCCACCAAAGAAGTGTTCTGTAAAAAGTTGAACCATACAAGATTGGAAGGATATGGTCGGTTTCCCAAAGAACAAGTCTGAAATCAATTTGGGGGAGATGGCTGATGAATAAATGACATCCATAAATGATAAGCTTCCAAGAAAGAAGTACATGGGTGAGTCCAGGGACTTACTGACAGTTACAATCACCACAATAAGCAGGTTGCCCACCATGGTCAAAATGTAGAAAAGCAAGAAAATAACAAAAAGTACTTTTTGTTCCTTTGGATTCTGTGTGAGTCCCAGGAGGACAAAGTAAGTCACATTGTTCCTCGGTTCCATCTATTTTTTTGTGGGTAATGCTTTCATATATTAGAAGCAATTTGCCTGTAAAACAATTAAGACACTTGAAATACATTATAATATTTGTCTTTTATTTTTATGTTCAATTAAAAAATGTGTAAGGAACACTTATTATATCAAACCTATCACTGATATTGACATACTGCACTGAATAAGACATAGTTCTCTCTGCTTACTGATGTGATATACACAATGATAGGATCAGACTGTTAGATACCAATGCAAATAAGTGTCATAATTAGATTCACACAAGGCTAAGAGTGCAGAGTGTAGGAACATCTTAATCAGACAGGGATCAGCAGTGGCTTCCGAGAGGAAACAATGCTTTGGCTAAGGTATAAAGGAGAAGTGAGAGGAAATGAAATGATGGAAAGGGAATTTCATGAAATGGTATGTGAAATATAAAATCACTGAAGTATAACACTTGATGACTGCCTAAAGTCATTTAAATGTTCAAAGTTGGTAGAATAAATTACGAAAGGAAGGTCTTTGTCCTAAATTTCCTGTTAACCCACTGGAACTTCCTTCTTAATGACTTTCTTGGCTCTTCCTCTTTTTCCTGATCAATAAATGCTGATGACACAACTTGACTTGCTGAAAGTGAAGATGACTTGAAGCACTCACTGATAAAGACCAAATACTACAGTCTGCAGTATAGATTACACCTCAACATAAAAAACATATATATATTAAAATCTTCATAACTGAACCAATAAGAAACATTATGATAGATGGAGATAAGATTGAAGTTGTCAGGGATTTCCTTTTACTTGAATCCTTGGATCTACAGTCAACACTCATGGAAGCAGCAGTCAAGGAATCAGACATTGTACTGCACTGTGCGAATCTGTGGTATCAGACTTTTTAAAAGTTTTAAGAAGCAAAGACGTCACTTTGAAGACTAAGGTGTGCCTTAGTCATTGTATCTTCAAACACCTCATAAGCATGTGAAAGCATGACAATGAAAAAAGAAAATATGAGGAGGAGCTGATGCCTTTGAATTGTATTGACAAATACTGAAAATACATGAACTGGCAGAAGGATGAACATATCTGTCCTGAATGAAGTGCATCCAGAATGCTCCTTGGAAGCAAGAAGAGCTAGACTTTGTCTCACATAATTTGGTCATGTTGTTAGAAGCAACTATTCCCTGGAGAAGGATATCACGCTTGATAAAGTAGAGGGTCAGTGAAGAAGGGAAGACCCTCGATGGGATAGATTGACCCAGAGGCTACACTGGCTGCAGTGATGGGCTCAAGCTTAGCAAGGATTGTGAGGATGGTGCAGGACTGGGTAGTGTTTTGTTCTGTTGTACACAGGGTCACTGTGGGTCAGAGCTGACTAGATGGCTCCTAGCAACAACAAGAATATTAATGCTAAAATACCCCAATTTTATATCTTCAGCCCCTACTAATCCCATAATTTTCAAACTTACATTTTGACTAATCAAGATAAATCTCTAATCTCTAATCAAGTCAACATTTGTAAAAATTCCTGTTTAATATTCTATACTAAATCTATTCCTTCCTCGATGTTGTGCATTTCAGTCAAAGGTACCACCTTCCATCTCACTGTTCAGACTAAACATCTCACCATGCCCTTTGCTCCTTTATTCTTCTCATATTACATATCACTACTTGTGATTACACATCACAACTAATCTTATTGACTCTACCTTCAAAATAAATCACGAATTTAATAATTCTCACTCTTTCTCTGTAACTTCTCTGGCCTATTACAGTGGACTCCTGTCCTATGTGTTTTCATTCTTACCTCCAACAATCTGTTCACCTGAAGGAACCCTGATGATGCTTTTAAAATCTTATTCAGATCATGTCACCTCCCTGCTCAAAACCTCCACAGTTGATCCCATCACACACTCAATAAAATCCAGTCTTCCATCTTGGACTACAAGACCCTGGATGACTTGAATCCAGGAAACACCAGAACTCATCTCTTACAATTCTCTGAGTTCACTCTGTTCCACTTGTTCCTATTCTTCATATACTGTATACAAAATGCTTTTCTATGCTTTTGTAGATGCTAATTTCAGATATCAGACACAGCTCATCTCTGAAATAATGATAAATATTGAGAAAACATGTATCACAAACTTACTATCATCTTTATGCATTCAATTGGTAAATATTTATAGAGTAATTATATCAGGTGAAGCCTTTCAAAGAAGGTAGCCCCTTAGCCATCATAGAAGGCTCCCTAACTCCTTTAGTTTCCAAGTCTACTCCAGAAGCCGCATCATCAGAGGACAGAGATGGTGGTGGTAAATGAAGAACCATTTTTTCACCATAACTTCTGTATTTTTCCAGATGTATGTACCTACTCAGATTATGAGATTGTTGACCACTTCATTTAAGAATTTTATAATGTTACTAATCATTCCATAACAAACATAAACCCTGACCAGCAACTTTTTAATCTTTCCTTCCACTTATTTCTCAATAACCCCAAACTACCCATGAGGAGGTCTCCACTTACCTGGTTGATTATAACAACTGATTTTAACTCTTTCTTTCCTAATTCTGTAGCTTTGTTTACACACTATGAACAAAAAAATAACAAAACAAAAAAGCCTATTGTAGCTCATTTTAAGATAAATTATGCCATTTTTATGCATGCAGAAACACATAATTTTAATTTATTCAAAGTGTCTAAATCACATTTGTTTTAGGAATTACGTATATAGTTTTACCATTAGATAGTAAATCTATACAGTATATATACTACCTTATGAAAAAATAAATTTCACATAAGGCAGCCTTATTATACCTTTCTAAATCCTGATGTGGGATTTTAAATCACTGTGCAAGTCACCACTCTGGATCAAACTTTGAACCTTAGTAAAATGAGATTCATGAATGCTCTTACTGAACTTTGGTATCTAATGCAATTGAATGTTTGAAAGCATATGTAGCAAGGTGCTTTAACCAACATGGATCATGGATCTTTGTTTTGATATACAATATCTCAAACTCCAATTTATGTATATCAACATATCTCATGAGTCTCTATCCCTCTGAAATGCAAAACAGCATGTTGAGAACATAAATTTTTCATTCCATTTGTTCCACTGAAACAAAATTATATATATATATATATATATATATATATATATATATATATAGTTGTTGTTGTTATGTGCCATCTAGTCGAACCCAACTCATCACAACTCACAACCCCTCCTTGGGTTTCTGAGGAGGTATCACTACAGAAGTAAATTGCCCAACCTTCCTTCCTAGGAGTGGCTCATGAGTTTGAACTGCCAACCTTCTGGTCAGCAATCAAGTGCTTTAGGCACTACGCTACCAGATCTCCTATATACATATATTAATTTATTTTCATGTGTGTGTGTATGTGTGTGTGTGTGTGTGTGTATATATATATGAAAAGAATATATAGATGAGAATATATGGAAAAGAAATGCTAACCGCAAGAACACATGTATTTGTTATATAAAATGTGTACAAAATGTTTGTCAGTTGCTGTGCCACGCCTATATCTTACATACACATCCTCACAGCTAATCTTCACAGTTGCAAGTACAGACAACAATTGTCATCCCCATTCATCCTCAGTTCAGGAAACTGAGACTCAGGATATTTAGTTCACTTTCCCAAGGCATACATTTTAAAGTGGCAAAAAGGAATTAGAATTTAAGTTGTATTAACTTCAAACTACTTTGCTGCCAGCAAAAGTTTTCTTAACATTCCAATTTTTACAAACTCAAGTGATATAATTTCCCACATAAAAAAGCCACACAGTTGCAAAGCTTTGTTTCCCCAATTAACTGATAGAGTCTTACCTTTGGAGTCTGCTTACAGTCTGAAGAAAGACTTTGTAACTCACACATTAGGATATGGCAATCCCTCTTTCAAGGCAGTACAACCACAGGGGCAGGACATTGCATTCTTCCTTAAGGATAGATTTGATTTCATATGGTTAAGCCTGTCCATTTTTTCAGGCTCTTGTATATATTTCATACAATTTTTGTTACTTCCATTATAGTTCTGTTTAGAAGGAATAATACGATGGAAACAGGAAAAAAAAAGAAAAAACTTTCCATTCTTGGACAAGTTATCCAAAAGACAAACAAATCCTGTATCTACATAAGAAAAAGGCAACTAATAAAAAAAGAAAAATCACCATTGAGGTTTTTTTTCCATTTCATCTATTGTGTTAATATGGCCACAGTAGTTGGGCTTGAGATTGTGAGTAGGTTGATAGGCCATTAACTAGTTGTGCTTGACATTTCTAAAGATCATTCATGTAACTTTTTACATGATGCTTTAAACCTAGCCAAGCATCTTCTGAAATAGATTTACTACTGTATGAGAAAATAGCATCTTTCCCCAATAGGGGCAAAGATCACTGGATATTTTATCCCTTTAACTACAACATTTATCATAGAGCCCTCTAATTGAAGTGCGTCCAACATTTGCTTAATTGCATTCATTGGGATTTTCAGTGAAATTTTGAAAGGACATGTATATGTAAAAATACTGCCTGATCAATCACGTAATTAGCATCAGGACTAGTTAAAATGGTGTGAAACTAGTTTCAGAATTATTATAAGACTATTTGGGAGCTCTGGTGGAGTAAGGCATTTGATTACTAACCAGAAGTCTGGCAGTTCAAACTCACTAGCCACTCCTTGGAAGATAGATTGGGCAATCTACTTCCATAGAGATACTGCCTCAGAAACCCAAGGAGGGGTCACTATGGTCAGAAACACCTCAGTGGCAGTGAGTTTGATATTTTTTTGGGGGGTGTGTGGTTAATTGCCACTTAAGAATCAAGTTTTGTCCAGTTACATTTCTCCAGTGGATATGAATTTAATCACTTATTTCCCCACTTTGCCATGGCAAGATTTTATTTTTTGTGTTGTTGTTGTTGTTGTTAAGTGCCATTGAGTCGTTTCCGACTCATAGCGACCCCATGCACAGAACGAAACACTGCCCGAT